AATTTAGCATTCCCATGAACAGTTCACTTGTGTTTTCATGTATGTGTCTTCTTCTAACAGTTGTAAATTCAGCTGGTGGTTTGCTAGCAAAACACATGTCAAAAAATACACAGAAATGATCTGACAAAGCAACATCAACTACATTAACATTTGATACATTAACCCCCTTTGTAATTAGCAGGTCAAGAGTGTGCCCCCTGCTGTGGGTGGGGCCACTCACGTGCTGAATGAAACCAAAGGTCTCAAATACAGAAACCAGCTCCTTTGCATTTCTGTCATCAACATTATCAACATGTACATTAAAATCACCTGTAATAACTAAACTATCAAAATCTGTGCACACGAATGAAAGTAGTTCAGTAAAATGGTCAATAAAATCGCAACATGACTGTGGTGGCCTGTACAGGACAATGAAAAGAGTAGAAGATTGCTTTTGTTCCATTTTAAAAGAAATATACTCAAACGATGAAAAATTTCCAAGGGGCATTCTATGGGAGACAAAGTGCTCTCTAAAAACTGCAGCTATGCCTCCCCCCCTTTTGTTTTCTCGTATTTCGGATTCGAATTTAAAATTGGGTGGTGTTGCTTCTATTAGAACTGCATTTCCTGTATTTTGGTCCAGCCATGTTTCAGCCATAAGCATAAAATCAAGATCATAAGATAAATTATAGACTCTGTTTGTTGCGATCTGAGTCTTATTTCCTTCTTTCTCTGCTGTAATGTGCGCAACAATGACACTGAAATAACCCCTCTGTGGGACGGGTAAAGGAATATCTTTTCCAGTCGTCATTGTGAATTGTTGTGAAATAAGCTGTAAAAATGATTGATTTTTGTTGCTTTTTTTTCTTGAGCCGCTGCTGTCCGGCCTTAATGCTCGTCTTGGCAATGTAATATTTATTTATGTAATTAGTAACTGAACCTGCTGTTAAGTCAAAGCTTAAATAACTGTGTGTTTTATGTCTTATTCTTATCTATGAATTTATCGCTAAATAATCAAAGTATATGCTGTGTTTTGTCTATGTCTTTTTTTTGGAAAATAGCGAAGAAAAATCAGCTCAGGTCAATGGGTGTTTGTGCAAATCAAAAAATGTATCTTGACTAAAAATGTATATCTTTGTTAATATGTGTTTTATTTGCTAATATTATACAGGTGCATGACTTTAAACATATCTCTGACCCATAGAGTGAATATTAAGAGTGGGCTGAGTGTGACATCACCCTAGTGTTGTCCTGAACACAGAAGAGGCCGATCTGAAGATGATGCCGAATTCCTCCATTTCCTGTAGCCTGAACCTTTTAGTCTGTAGCTAGTAGTATTTAGCCTGTATATAGTAATATTTAGCATGTAGTAAATTTAGCCTGTAGCTAATAGTTTTGGGCATTTTGTATTTAGCCTGTTGCTAGTAGTATTTAGTATGTTGTATTCATGGATCTATAATAATAACTGGATAGGGTATTACTAGATTATATCTGTCCCACCAATGGGCACAGGGGGCGCTGTGGTGCTATACACTAAATTCACGTGAGCTACACAGAAAAAAGTCTCTTAGAACTCAATGTAAACCAAAACAGCTCGACCTCAGCTGACAGAGAACCTACAGCTTTCATAAAGGTCTGATTTTGTGGGGATTTTTGTGTCCCTTGTCATCCTGAACTTTTTTTCTTCTTAAATCCTTTGGTTTTCTTTAAATCCACACTTTACTGTCACACACTCTGCTCGTTTCCTTCCCGCTCTGACTCCGCTCTACCACTGCTCTGATCAGCAGCTCTGATTGGTCAAAGCGCAACCGAGCCCCTCTGTGCACGTGCACGAGAACCACACACGCGTATAAGGCGCAAAGCAGCGAGTTCCACTAATCTTTTGGTCTCCGTGGAGTCCCATGCGCTGCTGAGCACAAGCCATTCATTTGAAGAGGACGCCATCTTGGATCACCAGGGCTTGGTATTTAGCCTGTAGCTAGTAGTATTTAGCATGTATTTATATAATATTTAGCATTTAGTATATTTAGCCTGTAGCCTGCAGTATACAGAATGTGGTAGTGCTAGTATATCATGGTAGTAGTATACAGAATGTAGTAGTAGTAGTATACAGTATCATGGTAGTAGTATGTAGCTTGTAGCCTGCGTAGTAGTAGTACTGGAGACAGTGGCTCAGTTGGTAGAGCATTGGCCTTTAAGGTCGTGGGTTCAAGAACATCACGAAACCTTCTCCACCGATCACTCCCACTGATGTCTGCTGTCGTTGTGTCCTTGGGCAAGACACTTCAGCCTCCTGTCGACCCACCACCTGCAGGAGGAGCAGGGAGGGGCTGGTGCTCTGTGGACCGGGTACAGCTCTGACTGCCACCCCCGACCCAGAAATGGATCAAGGGGAAGAAAATGAATGGATATAGTAGCAGTAGTAGTAGTAAATATATCCTGTAGTATGTATTAGTAGTAGTATTTAGCCTCTATCCTGTAGTAGTATGTAGCAGTAGTATTATTCATCCTGTAGTATGAAGTAGTATTTATCGTGTAGTATGTACTAGTAGTAGCAGTAGTAGTAGTAGTAGTAGTATTTATCCTGTTCTGTTGTATGAAGTAGTAGTATTTCTGGTGTATGAAGCAGTACTTTATGATATATTAAAAAGGAGCAGGGAGACAGGAGGTAGTACTCTGTAGTATGTAGTAGTATTTCTGGAGTAAGATGCAGTACTTTATGATATAATGAAGGAGCGGGGAGACAGGAGGTAGTACTCTGTAGTATGTAGTAGTAGTAGCAGTGTATGGTGCAGTACTTTATGATATAATAATAAGAAGCGGGGAGACAGGAGGTAGTACTCTGTAGTAGTGTATGATGCAGTACTTTATGATATAAAAAAGGAGCAGGGAGACAGGAGGTAGTACTCTGTAGTATGTAGTAGTAGTAGACGTGTATAGTGCAGTACTTTATGATATAATAATAAGAAGCGGGGAGGCAGGAGGTAGTACTCTGTAGTATGTAGTATTAGTAGACGTGTATAGTGCAGTACTTTATGTTATAATAAGAAGAAGCGGGGAGACAGGAGGTAGTACTCTGTAGTATGTAGTAGTAGTAGACGTGTATGATGCAGTACTTTATGATATAATAAGAAGAAGCAGGGAGACAGGAGGTAGTACTCTGTAGTATGTAGTAGTAGTAGACGTGTATGATGCAGTACTTTGTGATATAATAAGAAGAAGCGGGGAGACAGGGGATAGTACTCTGTAGTATGTAGTAGTAGTAGACGTGTATGATGCAGTACTTTATGATATAATAATAAGAAGCGGGGAGGCAGGAGGTAGTACTCTGTAGTATGTAGTAGTAGTAGACGTGTATGATGCAGTACTTTATGATATAATAAGAAGAAGCGGGGAGACAGGAGGTAGTACTCTGTAGTATGTAGTAGTAGTAGACGTGTATGATGCAGTACTCTATGATATAATAAGAAGAAGCGGGGAGACAGGAGGTAGTACTCTGTAGTATGTAGTAGTAGTAGACGTGTATGATGCAGTACTTTATGATATAATAATAAGAAGCGGGGAGACAGGAGGTAGTACTCTGTAGTTTGGCTACCTTTATTCGAGCAGAGGGTCATTTTCAAGAAATTACAAATGAAGAATTCAATAATACTTTTACAAAGACATTTGAGGAAAGATTCTTCTTCATGGTATCATACATAGTATTTAACAGTCCCTCTTCATTTTTTAGCTTAAAAAAACAAAGATGAAGAAAGTGGAATTTTTCAGTCGAAAATACAGTGTTTTCACAATTGTATAAAAGTTCCCAAATTTGGAATTGGAAAAAAAAGGAAATAAAATAAGATTAAACTTCGCATTTTCACAATGTTTCAAAACACAATAAATGCTCTCTTTAGATTTGCCCCTTTAATCGACACTTGTTCCTTTTTACTAAAATATATCTATATATTGAAGAACTATAGTACTGTACACAACAGTATGAAATAAATAAAATTAGGAAATATAAAATGGGCCACATAAATAACCTTTGAACCTACAACAAAATCAATGCAATTTGTTGTTTTTCAAAAAGAAACAAGAAACAAAAGAGAAAACAATACGGTTTGGCGTAATACTGACGACAACAGAAGTTTAAGTAAAACATTGCACAACAGAATGTAAACTATCGGAATACTGACAATGACACCACCCAGGGGCCACAGGCTGGTGAGGGGCCCGACCCAGGGGCCACAGGCTGGTGAGGGGCAGACACTACACCAGGGGCCAAACGCCGGTGAGGGGAGTCCTACACCGGGGGCCACGGGCTGTTTCAGGGGCCGATACTACACCAGGGCGGCTCTCGGACACACACAGGTTAAAAAGTTTGCATATAAGGCTTTACCACCAACATCGCCATTTCATACGGAGTCCCCGAGGCCTAAAACAGTGTGGCTGCAGTATTTTTTTCCTTTTCATTTTTGGCTGGAAAAACAAAAAAAACAAACTAAAACGTAACACTGGAGTAACAAAGAAGTTAGGGAGGGGAGAGGGGGCGTTATGTTGGGGCTGCTCTTTTTCCGACAATGTATAAATATATACAATAGGCAATACTTTTTATTATTTTTGTTCATGATTATAAGCGGAGTGCAATTTGTACAAGTCACTAGTTGTGCTATAAATACTATGGAACACTTGGGGGAGGGCGGGCTCGGAGGAGGTTAGCACCACACGTATTTTTAGGCCTTAGTACTGTACATGTTTTCATTGTTCATTTTGCATAACGCAGCTTATTCGACAAAACCATGCCCCTCCTCCTCCTCTTCCTCGTCTTCTTCTGAGTTGATTGGAGTTTTCTCGCCACCCCTCCCGAGGAGCTTCAGGCACGTGCACGTACAGCTTAAAACATTAAACGTTTTAAAACTGAACCCGAAATAAGAACAACAACAAAAAAACATTGAAATAAAAAAAAAAAAAAACATGGGAAGCTTCACAAAAAAAAAGTTAAGAATGAGCTTTTAAGTCTTTTTCTCTTTCGTAAACGTTCAGTCCTCCGCGTTTTCCTCGCGCTCCGGCGATTTGGTTTCCGTTTTCCCGTCCAGCGAGCTCTCGTCCTCTTCGTCCCGCGGGGTTCCCGGGTCCGTGTCCACACTTTTGCTCTCAAACTCCTCCTCCAAATCTTCCATCTTTTCATAAGCCCCGTCCGCAACCACCTCCTTCCGACTTTCTTCCGTCATAGCTCCGTTCAAGCCGCCCATCGCCACCGTCGGGTCGTGCCTTAAAATTGGTTCGCGCTCGCCCAGTTCCGGGTACCCTTGCGGGGCCAGGCCTTGTAGGTAGGCCCGGCTCATGAGAAGCTCGGTGGGTTCCAGGTGGGCGCCTCCCTTCTCGCGGGCCTCTCGCTCGGCGGCCTCACGCTCCTCCGCCTCCCGCTTGCAGTAGGAGTAGCGGTGGTTCATGTGCTGCGAGTATGATCCCGAGTGCGAGAAGCGCTTGCCGCACTTGTCGCACTGGTACGGCTTCTCGCCCGAGTGCAGCCGCGAGTGCTCGATCAGATGGTGTTTGTGTTTGAAGGCCTTCTTGCAAATCTGGCACTGGTGAGGTCGCTTTCCTGCCCGAGCCGAAGGGAGAGGAGACAAAAGAGAGAGACGGAGAGAACAGTTGGTTAGTCGGATGCCGGAAACTCTGGCTTTATGTAAAAACACACAAACACAAACACAAACACAAACACAGCAAACAGTGATGAATGGAGTGAATGGTTACAAATGACAGTGATGGACCAGTGGGAAGCAGGCATATTCAGACGGAGTTATGGAAATTGTGGGACAAAACAATTTTTTTCCCCATTTTTTTCTGAAATCTTTAGGCGTCAAAGTAGAATTACAACATGAGCCCTGAGCTGTGGCTTTGCGCACACATTTTTATTATTTTTTTTACATTATTTGTTTTGTTTTCCAGAGAAGCTTTCCAAATTCTAATGTCATTTTAGGATTATATTTCTTATAAACTTCCATGGGCTCCACCTTTGTCTGTTTTTAATTTCTGAAGGAAATGGCGCCTAAAGGGTTAAGATAATAACAGTCCGGCTTACATTTTATCACTCAACCATTATATACATATTTTTGTTTTAAAATTCAATAAATTATATTACTTCTACAAAATTTCTTTCATATACACCACTTTTGGCATGTTCCAACTTTATGACTATAGAAGCATGTGAAATAAGTTACATTTATGTTAATTTGTGGGATTTTTTTAAGGGGAATAATAAGAGGCAAAATTAATCGGAGCTATTTTGTACAGAACAAGGCTCAGTCCTCAAGATAAAGATGACTTAAAGAACATTTTCTCATTCGTCAATCTTTATTTTGTCCTCACAATTCCCTTCTCTTCCAAAAGCAAAAGTCATTCACATCGGTCCTTGCTTTCTTTCCGCACGTTTTTTAACTTTTGGATTCGTTGCTACTATCCTTCCCCAAACTCTTTTGATTACACGGTGGCATCAGCAATCACGATTCTCCGCAAAACCGATCGCTCCTGACAAGTCGAAGCTGCTCCTAATTGCCGTCGTGTTCCCATTCGTGGGCCTGCATTATGGAAATTCCCTTTTGTGGTTTTGAGCCCGGAGAAACTCGACCACAACTACTTATTTTGAGCTTGCTCCGATGAACGCGACAGAAATAAACCAGGGGCCAACCAAACAAACAGAGAATCACTAGGTTTTGGGGGCGAGTAGCGCATGTGTGTGTGCGTGTGTGTGTGTGTGTGTTTAAGGCATCTTCCAGCTTATCTCGCCACATTACTCTCGTTGTCTGGGGCGGTGCTACTCTTTAGGCAGAGGCGCATGACCGAATCGCGCCGGGTGATGCCAAAAGGAGGAATGAGAAACTGGAGCTCGCCGCAGAGTGAGTTGGTTTTTATGACAGCAGGCCTATAAACTGTCTGGCTGTGTCCGTGCCCGACTAGTTGTAATGTCTGCTGTAAACCGAGACGCGGCCTCTTCATACTAATGTGTATTTATTTATCTCAAAACTTAAACTCCTTATCGCAGGCTGACATGATGATCTGCTATCTCCAAATACAGAGGGACTTAAAGGACAACCTTGGCTTGTCCACCTAAAGCTGATTTTTTGTAAATAATTTATACGTATCTCCGGACTTAAACTCCTTAAGTTAAAATGATCTGATATCTCCAAATACAGAGGGACTTAAAGGACAACCTTGGCTTGTCCACCTAACGACGGGTTTTGTAAACAGCTCTTAAAAACACATGCGGGGAGTCTTTCCTCCATGAAATAATAAAGATATTCCAAGCCAGCGCGATGGGTCTGCTTCTAAGTCCAAGGAGAAACCGATAGCGGGTAGAAGAAGAAGTGATGCAAGACGCTGAAAGGGGATCTGCCACATTAAGGCAAAACGAAAGACGCGCTATCGGGCCGTGTTTGAAGCCGCCGAACGCCGCCGCTGCTGATGCGATCTTTCTACCGATGAGGGAGCATAAAGGCGCGAGGCCCGTGTGCGCGCAGAGGTAGGCTTTGAAGATGTAAGTGGTTAATGCAAGAAGGCAGAGGCGGAGAAGTAATGATATCTGTACTCAAGTAAAACGCAAGGGTGTCTCTCACAAGCCGCAGATACGGTCAAATTCTGTTTTTTTTTTATTAGGGTAAAATTATGTATTATAGAATTTTCAGCACAATTCTTTTTAGAAAATACATGAGCAAACATATTTCTTACTTCCCACCTCTGACATAAAAACAATGTTTTCAAAAAGGGTGCAATGAAGTTGACGATGACACAAAAAACTGCCATATTCAGAAATCTACAATTACTACGGAATTTGGGAATTTTACGAAAGAACACACTTTTGTTGAAGTTGTTTTTTCAATTTTTTCAAACTATTTTTTTCTCTTTTTTTCAAAGCAATTCTTAAAAAATCCAATCAATATCACAAATTAAATGCCCTGTCGATGGAAAAGCAAGTTAGGAGTGTTTACATTCAACTGAAGGGGTAACAAAGAGGGGAAGAAGGATTAAAAAGGGGGAGGGGGAGAGGTTTGGGGTGGGGGTATAGGGGTAGGTAACATAAGAGAAATTTCAAAAACTAGGATTCGGAACACAAACATTGAAAACATAAAAGCATGGGGTTTAAAATAAGGGTCTGTAACAGTAGATACCTGTGTGTTCATATTTGTGTCTGAGAAGGGAACTGCTCTTCTGGAATGTTTTGTCGCACAAGTCACACGCGTACATACCACTTTCAGTCTTCTTTATCTTCTTCCGCGACAGACAGGAGTCGGGGTCTGTCATGTCGTCCAGGCCGGACAAGTAATCGGGCGTGGCGTCCAGCAGGTCTCCCTTTGAACGAGACAGAGAGAGAGAGAGGAGAGGGGGGGAAGACAGAGGGGAGAGTCAGTCAAGCTGCACTAACACAACACTGCAAAAAAAAAGAGAAATTCAATTCAATGTGTTTGTGTATCGCCCTAAATCACAACAGCAGTCGTCACGGAGGTATGTACAAAGTTGTGGATTCAACAGGATATCAGAGAATCAAACAGGAAATGCAATAATAACAAACATATAGAAGACGTTGGTCCATAGGGAGCGGGATGTCCAGAAATTGTCACTGTCCTGTGTTAAAAACCCAGTGTGAAAAAGTGAGAAAAGTCAGGGAGGTCCATAATTAAAGAGACATCCGTTCCCACAGACTAAATCCTATCTTGAATTTAGTACATTTTAACCATGGTGCTTTTCAATTATTTCAAGAACGGACTTTAATATTTTCACAACAGGAGAATATCTCATTTAAAACAAGACTTATTTGCTTCACGAACTGGCAAATCATGTCCTGGATCTACAGCCTCAGTCCATTTCTGCACATTTATTCTCATTTCTGGACACTGGTCATCCCGCTCCCCGTCCGACCAAAGTCTTTTACGTGTCTGATCTACTGTTTCTGAATCGACCTTCCTCCAAGACAACTGCTGTACACACATACACTGAATTGAATTGAAATAGAAATAACACAATTATTGATTTGTTTGTTGTCTGCACTAAGACTTTGAAACATCTGCCGGAGGAAGAGAATTACGCTGCTTTAATTGAGGCAGTAATAATAAACTGGAACTTGGTGACAGGTTTTCAGAGTGGGAGTGTATTTTGCCAGTTTGATTTGATTATTATTTGCTCTGCTATTTGGCTGTTGAAACACACAAAAGAAAAACAGAGCTGAACTCAAATAAAATATGAATATGTGATCCGTATTTTTTCTGACATTTTTACATGAATGGTTGTCAAACAAACAGGGAGAGAAACAACCAAGATTTTTTTCTTCAGCCACGTTTGAGCCGGAGCCTTCGGAGCAGATCGGTGAGCGCTGAGTGGCCGATCTGCCTCACCGCCTGCCTCTGACATGTCTCACATTATAAAAGTCTACCACTGTATTCAGGACAGAAATCTCCATTAAGAAGATTAGCCTTAAACACGACTCTATGGAGAACAATATGAGGACATTAGAGGGACGCGGGCTTGTAATAACTCCTATCACACCGAGCACCTTAATGGCTAATATTGGTCCTGTTTAATGAATATGTGTGAGATAATGCGAGGCCCACTATCACTCTGCAATCAATTTGAACTAAACGCCCGTAGCTGTATTTTTAAAATCTAATTTAATAACTTAGAATGGGAAACATTATTAGCAGTTTTTCATCAGAAAGGTTGGCTCCATGTTAAACAGCCTTTAGCAGTCCGCTGTAATGAAAGCGACTGCATTATTAATCCAGGAGCAGCTCGTTTGGGTCGCACTCGTTAAAATGCACAGGAGTTTCAGACAAGTGCAGTGCTCCCAGGCTCACCTTTACTATTCTAACATCACACTTCATATATATTTCATTCCGAACAGAGCAGGCAAAAGCTGGGACTGCACCGGATCCAACAAATCTGGCCAAAATTAGCTCCTTTTATGAGGGCAAATAAGACATCTTGGGGTTTGATTGTTTTATATTTCTTCACTTCAAAAAATGACAGAAATGACATTTGCAGAAATGAATGTTCAAAGAAGAATGGGTTAAAGAGACTTTGCAGAAGTATACCCAGAACATTCTCTGCTGTCAGCATTGACTCCCAAATGAATCATTAGTCATGAGGTAAATATATCTTTGTCCCGTCCCTCGGGTAGCTCAGGTCTGTCCCTCAGTCCCTCCCAGACATAAGTGTGCAAATTACCTGGAACCCGGGTTTCCGCTGGTACTTCCTTCTTTGCTGCATCTCGGCAAAAGTAGCTGCCCCGGCTGCATAAGTGTAGGCCATGTGTGGTAGGAAGCCCATCTGATCCATTCCTGGGTATGGCCTGAGCCCTGGGATGCTAGCCTGCATGGGGGGCATGAATGTGGCTGGAGGGAAAGCGCTCTGAGGGGGGAGCGATGTGTACAAAGGCTTGGCAGCGAAAGGGTTAATGCCAAAAATAGGACTAGTGCTTTTCTCTAAGTTTCCGTTGTTGGCGGCGGAGAATTCCTTTTTGAGATAGGCCAAATTCAACGGCTCTTCGAAGTGCTCTCGGGGCGAGGGGATGCTGCTGTGGTCCATGGAGATACTGTTGATTTTGGGTCTGCTTTTGACAGTCAGTGCATGCTTGGGCTCCCTCATGAGCCGGGGCAGAGACAGGTCCAGCGGCTCGGCCTGCAGGTCCTCCGAAGTCAAGCTGTTGGGAGTGTACGAGCTGCTGTGAGAGTGCTTGGAGGACGTGGAGGACAGATTCAGGGGGGAGGGCGTGTTGCTGCGGGATTTGGCACTGCCGCCAAACTGGTGGTTCTTCAGATGCCTCAGGGGGTTGTCACAGTTGTTGACGTTGTTGTGGAGCTCAGCGATGGAGGGAGACGTGATGCGGTCAGTAGCTTTCATTAGAGATACAGGTGACTGGGGCACCATAGAGTCTTTAGGGGGAGTGTGGAGGTTGTTGGTTCCCATGAGCATGTCTGAGTTGCGACTGTGCTCCAGCGGCGGCGTCCTGGTGCTGCCGTAATGGTACATCTTCCGCTGCTCGAACCACTCTTTCACAAATTCCTGAGGAAGGCCCACGGCTATGGAAATCTTAAGCAGCTCCTCTGAGTTGGGCTCCATGTTCATGGCAAAATATGCCTTTAGCACAGACATGTGGTCCCTGTAAGGATTGAGAGGAGGGGGGAGGCCCTTCTCCGACAGAAGCGAGGGGGATAAGTGACTGTTCTTTTCCAGGAACAGACCTTGTTTGTTGGCCATTAGGTTTTCCGTGGGCTGCAGCACGGCCTTTATCTCCTCGTTCATCTTGCACAGGTAGCGCTCGTGCTGGTGTAAGGGGATGGGCCCGGGGAAGGCTTCTTTGCAGTACTGGCAAGCGTACGGCGTAAACATGTTCTCTTGCTTGTCGTCCATGCCTCCATCGAACATGTGGTTCGACTTCTCCCGCTTGATATTGCTGATTTGTCTCTTTGAGTCATTGGTGAGGCTCTGGAGGCAAGCTTTGGCTTCGTTCACCTTCTCTAACGTGTAGTCGATGATGCTTTTGGTGGCGCCGTTGTGGTTGACCAGCGGGAGTCCGACCTGTCCGGCAACCTGCTTCTGATGCTCCTCCATTTGAGACCCCAGCTCCTTCATGTAGGCTTTGAGTTTGGACAGCTCCTCCGGTTTGCAGTCCATCTTCTGCCGGCACACCGTGTTGTCGACGATCTGGAGGACCTTCTGCACCTCGCTCAGGTTGTTGGCGAGCGGACTGGAGTAGCCGAGCAGTGAGGACTCCAGGCCGGCCATGCTCAGATGCTGCAAGGGGCTCTGGGCCGAGGAGTTGTGGTGGACCCCCATGGGACTGTTGCCGCCCATGCCGCCGTTCATGAAAGGCGCTCCGAACCCGTGAGACGCCATCATGAGCTTGTAGTCGTTGAAGTCCAGCGGCTCCGTTTTGATGCTCAAGTGGTGGTTGTTGGGTTCCGGCAGGCCCAGAGGTTTGCCGTTTTCCAGTTTTTGCCGGAGCTGGGTGATGGCCGAGTTGGTGGGCGAGGAGGAGGCGGAGGTGGGGGAAGAGCCGGTCTTCATGTTGGCCCGCATGCGTCCGTTCACAGCGATCAAACCGATGCACTTTTTGCTGCTGATGTGAGAGCTGTAGGAGCCTGAGTGGGAGAAGCGCTTCTTGCAGTTGGGGCATTCGTACGGTTTTTCACCTGGGAAGAAAAACAGACCGCAAAAAAAACAATTAGTATATACATGTATAATATGGACCGGGTTTTCAAAGTTTTCCTCTGTCATAACTTAACCCAAATAGTTTCTATAGTTTCAACTTGAACAATGTCGGTTGCATCCCAAATGAACAAATATTCTGTCCTTTTTAACTTGTCTCAGAAGTTTCTATTCTGGAAAAACAAAAATGTGTAGCAATCTGGGGGCAAATAATCCCAAATTCTGTCTCATATTCACTAATCTTGACTTGAAAAGACACTAGTAAATAGAGGCAAGCATTTACTACAATTGTTAAGTTGCTTTTAGCCACATTTGTCTATATTTATCATATTCTTTTTGTGTGTTTGCGTATACATATTTGGCAAGTTCAACAGCTTTACCCAAATATTGATGCTGGTTTCTTTTTGGCTGATATGCTATTGAATTTCTGTTGATATATTGATACATTTCTATTTTAATACACATTGACTGAATGTATTTGTTGAAATAGAAACGCAAAAAAAAAGAAAACAAAAATCTAAAATGAAATCAACAAGTGTACTTAATGAGTGTTTTGGGCCTGTGTGTGTGTGTTTGTGTGCATATTTGTCTCTGTGTGTGTGTTTTGTGAGAATTGGAATACCACCATCATTGTCTTGCTTCTTCCAATCCAACTTCAACCCAATTTTTTTTTTGCTTTTATTATTTTCCTGTGAATATGTGTTTGTATATATTTAAAAAAAAAAAAAAAAAAAAAAAAAACTAGAGACACACACACGGTTTATTTCCGTCTCTGGCTTTTGCCCACGATATCAGCTGAAAATTCACACTGACAAACATAACTCTTGGCAGACTCATTGATTAGCAGCAGAGGCCGCCGTGCACCTAACAGCAGCGCGCCTCCCAAATAAACCATGCTGGAATTCCTGTTGCATTCTGGGACCTCTGGAAACATCCTCACTCTCTCTTTTAATACATTTTTTTTCTTGTTTTTTTTTTTCTTCTGGCACTTACCGCTGTGGATCCGGAGGTGTTCTTTTAGATGGTGCTTGTACTTGAACGCCTTGCCACACTCGGTGCATTTGAACTTGCGGTTGCCAGCTGCTTGGTTTAACAGTTGGTGCTGTGTCGAGAGAGACAGAAGCAACAAATGAGAAAAGAGTATATTTATGTGAAGAAAAGAAGAAGAAAAAAAACCCTTGGAGTCTAGTTAGAAAAAAAGCACAAACACACGGGCGATAGCTCAGTAAATAAGCACTGTAGAAGTCGGCATGACAACAAGCAACAAAATGGCCGCCCTAGCTTGCGTTGGCATCTTGGCATGTCCCTCTCTCCGACATTGAAGTCGCCGCTCAATAACACGCGCACCTTTTCATTTCCTGGTTTGCAAAAAAACTAGGCCGGGTTTCGGAGAGTTTGGCGCCAGAAGAAAAGAGCTTTTTGATTTTTGCTAGAGTTTCTCCTCCTTCATTAGAGCGACTGATCTCATCTACTTTTCATTAATTTGCTTCTAATCACCGAAGGTAATGTCCGGCCAACATACCTGTATTCACACTTCAATTAGACTGCTTTTGGAATCTGTCAAGTAATTAGAAAAGGCTTTTATCAGCGCAGCAGTCGGCAGCCCCTCCGCGGCCTCGATTCTCTGTTCAAAGCCGGCTACAATCTGTTCATATTGGATCCAGATATATCACTGCATAATGATCCGAAAGTAATAATTGGGGCTATTTTGATTATAAGCATGTGTATGTATGTGTGTGTATATATATCTGCGTATGGCGGAACACAGGAGAAAAGCAAAGTATTATTTTACAGTCAGACAGTTGGATCGGAATACAGCTAGTAAAAAAATACGTACAAACACAAACCGAAGGACATTGTTTGGGAATTATTTAAACTGGGGTGGATTTCACAAATAACACATGTTTGTTCTGACAGAAAGACATACTTTAAAGTCAAAATCAGACGACAACGTGCTGTTTTGATCACACACATACTTTTATAGAGCCCTGGGAGTCACTATCTGACGCTGATTGGTTGTTTTAATCGGAAATAATTAATTATGCAGATTAATTTGTGACGGTTTATAGTTTTGTGGTCGGAACTGGACACGGGGAGGCAGCGTTTTACATCCATGCAGCAATCTTCTTGAAAATGTGAGGCTGACGTCTACTCTGGCAGTTTTCAAATCCTCAAAAACTATTTAGCTGCAAAAGGATTTTAAATGTATTCTTTCTAATGCACTGTGGCTATTTACCATTTTAATCCTGTGTGATTTTAATGATTTGATGGTTTTAATTACACACGATTTCATAATGTTTTTCATATTTCTTGCGATCTTAATCTTTGTTTTTAATCTTCTTTTGTTTTGACGTATGTATAAGAGAAGATGGGATAGACTTTATTGATCTCACACTGGAGAAATTTCCAATGTGTGTGTGTGTGTGTGTATGTAGATTTTAATGTGGGTCGTGAGGCGCTTTGTGTTGGCTTGTGTAACTAAGGCGCCCTACAAATAAGAGTGAATTGATTTGTTGATTTAAAGTTATGTATTGCAGCTTTAAAGTATACAAAGCACATGTTTTAGCTAGGTCGGGGTAAACTGCAGCTAAAATTGGGTTCTTTGATTTCAAGAAGCGGCAATTATCTGCACTCAAAAGCTAAATGCATATGTTGTAATGTATGGTTCTAACGGATCAAAAGCCCTCATTGACTGTTATCAAAAACATGAAAATGAAAAACTGGAGACATCTGCTTTTTGCAAACAAACTCTCTCTCTCTCTGTCTCTCCCCCAACTTCAATCAAATCTCTTTCTATTTCATTCTAAGGTGAACGCACTAAACTGTTGCTAAACGGACCCGGGGAAGGGAGCGGGGGCAACCTCTCCTGCCGAGCCCGCGACAAATGCCTGGGTGTGTGTGTGTGTATGTGTGTGTGTGTATGTGTGGGTGTGTGTGCGACTGACTCTCCCTCACATTCCAGGGGGAGACAGATGGCGGCGAGCGGGACACAGGGAGAAGGGGTCCGCGATGGGAGGGACTTGTTCAAACAGCCCCTGCCTCCTCGGATCAAGAGCGCGCTGAGGCAAAAGGGGAGGGGGGCCACGCCATGTTACCGACTCGCGTAAACAAACAGGAACAGCTGCTCGGCCCCCAACCCCCCCACCCCCACCCCCCCCCCTCGCCCCATCCACCCCCAAAGAGGACCCCTGCCCGCTAAAGTTTAGTCTTGCCGCCGCTGTTAATAAGACAAAATCGCTCTGTGGTGGTAATTGTGAATGGCACGGTTAAGGCTGGCGGGTAGGCGGGCTCTTCGGCGCATGTTTGCATATGTATAACCACTAATTACTCATATTTCGGCTAATTGCTTAAGAGGAGGCGGAGTATTAGGAGCGGTAAACATAGCCGAGCACACGCACACCGTTCCTTTATGTTAATGGGCCAATGCAGATTGTGTGTGTTGTCATTAATTACCGTCGGTTAATATTCAATCTATTCACATATTTTTTTTTTTTTTGTACATAGCCACCGGGAGAGGGATGGACTCACATCGCATCAGGGCAGTTTTGAAACAATCGCCGCTCCCTTGCAACGTTGAGATGAAGCGGGAAGAGGCTAGCGGCAAGTGTTGAGAGACTCGGGCACTGGCGAAGGGAGAGGGGAGGAAAGGAAACGAGAGAGAGTAAGCCTTGGTCACTAGGAGAGAAGGAAACGAAACTTGAATTTGTGAGCTGCCTTGGTCGCTGGCAAAGAGGGGAGGGAGCCGTGATCACTGAGAATGGAGGAGAGGGAAGAAATCTAGAAATTAACAGCTTTTTTCCACAAGCTGTTATCAGTTTGAACAGAGCACTTTAATGATTTTCACTTGTACTGAAACTGTTTTAGACGATCGATGTCACAGTGTCAATTGTTTACTGTTTTATTTGTTTTATTTCTGTCTTTTAATGTTGTGTTATGTCTGTAGTTGTCTGTGCACACTGGAGACCTTTTGCTAATGTATTCCAATGTGTTTTTTTTACTGCAAATGGCAAATAAACTGAATCTGATACGTGCTCGTCAAATAGAGAGTTTTGCTCAAAAAGTGGAGTGGACAATGTACCTCAGAAGATTTCCGGTAACTGGGCTTGTTCACACTAAAGGGCACAAAAGTGTGACAAAAGGCCAAAAATTAGATTTTAATAATCAGAAGATATTTTATGTTTTTCATGTTTCCAAGCACCTCCTCTGTCCTTTAGAAGTTGCTAGAACAAAACTGTTTTATACATTAGACAAGTTTCCTATAGCGGCCCTGTTTATTTTATGTAACGGACGTGATGATTTGACGGAATGAGCTTTGTGGAAGTTTGATAGGTATTTTCAGATGTCCACATATGATTCAGAGATTCTATTTTTTTACACAAAGTAGATGCAAAGTGATACTTTCATATTGTCAAGCAATTAAATGTGAAAACAGACCAGAATTTTTTTTTTCTCAAGTTTAATTTTTAGAGAAAAGAGGACCGTCCTCATCACGTCCGTTATACATTTTTCAGGGGTCATTTAATTAATTAATTATTTTTTTCACGATTCCTTTTTATAATCAAGTGATTACCTTCTGTTGTGTTAACCATGTAAATATTGTGGGATTTCCTCTTCTGCTTTTTCAGACTGAGGACATTTTATTTTCTATGTAACTGGCGTCACAGTAGAATGGTCCAATCAGAGGCTCATTTGGTCGTTTAAAATGTTGCTAAACATTTTTATGTCAATCTTTCCTTTTGATTTTTTCCACACGATCTCTTCAATCTGTCTGTGTTTGAAACCTTTTTTCCAATCTATGAAACTAATTTTAGTTTTTAAGTTATAACCTTTTAAAGTCCAGATACTTCAATTGTCACTTTACTGTGAACACACTCAACTAGCAAAAGAAGGAGCGAAGGAAAGTAAACTAGGAATTTGGAAGGAGCCTCGGTCACTGGCAAAGGAAGAAGAGGGGAGGAGTGGAAAGGCAAGGCGGCATTGTAATGTGAGGATTGGGATGCGGCCCACTCCATCTGCTCATGTCCGGGGCCAGCTGTGAGATCAGGTGAAGGAGCTTGTCAAGTGACTTCAGAGAGAAAGGGCCCCGTGAGCTCAGAGCCCGTAATAGAGCCGCAGTGATACCTCTGCGGAGGTGCCAACGACAGACGCTCAGATCAGTTTCACTTTGATGTGATTTACGGAGGAGGTTTGCGCGTCTCGATTACAACAAAGCAGTTAAATGCAACTAGAAGTACGTTTTGATCGCGGCAATTACAGACAGTTATTTTACGGGTTATTTCGGCAATTTGTCTGTATGATTGTAATACGGTTACTTTTAAAGTTATAGAGGGTTGAGATTGTGGGGCCAGCAGAACACAGCAGGGGGAAAGTTGGGGTGTCTAACTTTTAAACCACAAAGAAGAACTACTGTATGTATAGCATCTTTGTCACTAGTTCCTTGGTATAGTTTTCAAATCCTGTATTTTTGGCCTCTGTCACATCTTTATAATCACATCTGATTATCATAACATGCAATTTTCATACAATTCTCATTCTTTCATTCTTCTCAAATGACTTTCTTTACCCGAGTCACATCTAAAGCCTCAGTCCTGAATCTACAAATCTCTCTCTCAATTTGGGCCTCCTTGAGATTTTTCACTTTTTCGCTCTGGGTTTTTGATTGGTTCCTTCTCAAAGCAGCTTCTCAAATAAATTTTTTTATTAACATTTCTGGATAGTGCTCGTCCCTCTCTCTATGTGTTTGTTACTCTTGCACTTCCTGTTTGCATCTCTGATCTCTCATTCTATAATCCACAACTTTGTTAAGTCCTCTTTGTGATTTTGGGGCGATACACAAACACTTTGATTTGAATTGGAATTAAACCGTTTTCTTTGTTAGATTCACCGCTGAAGCCAAACGCCGCCCTCGTGTTTGACATAAGTTATTACGGTTCACGGCTCTGATAAAAAAACCCATTTGGAATTTACTGCCGCGATTTTACTCTGAGGGTCTAATTATCTTTGAAATGTGCAGAAAACGTCCAAAAAAAATAAGTTTGGAGAGCCCAATCCATCTGACACTAACGCTGAATCTAAACATGCGTGACGGCGGCGAGATCCACGGTCACATCCAGAATACAGGAAATAAATGGCAGCCGCGGCGAGCCCAGATGTTTACGCAGGAATGGGGGGGGGGGATCGGAGGAGAGGGGGGAGAGGCGTGATGGAGCACCGAGACCGAACCCCGAACCAAATTAAAGGCCAAGAGTAGAGACAAGTTAAGGAGCTGATAAAAATTTCCAAATTGGAAATTAACACAATCATTGGATCGTGAACGCGCGGCGGCAAAATCATATCAGGGAGAGCCATCAAAAAACCATTTAGGGCCTCAATTAAAGTTATTACCATTAAAGGATCTGCATCTTCAAAATGCCATGAAAAATTAATAATGATTGCCAATCAGAGGGAAGAAAACCATATCTCTTATCCGGCTCTTTGGGCGAGGATCGTTAAGAGATAAAGTCGGGAATTCGTCCGGAAGCAAAAGTAACTTCTCCGCCGTCACGACATTTTTGGGATGTTTATGGTCCATCAGCGGTGAAGGCAGAGACACCAGTGGGTTCCAAAGTGAGGGGCGCGGGACATTAGTTAGCGACTATTTTTTCCATTATAATACACACTGTTTACTGGTTAATTTATCCTCAAACCAATTTTAAAAAAATACATATAAAAAAGGTTTTATTTTTCCTGCTCTTTTTACTTTCTATGATTCACTTATGTCACTGTTAAATGTTTTTTTTACTTTTTGCAACTTGAGCCAAAGCAAATTCCCAGTTTGTCACTTCCTGTTTTATGTGACTAAGCTTCCATGGCATGTTCTACCTCAATTCAACTTTTCCTACATTTGAACCCAACATAGTGTTAAAAAAAATAATATATATAATGGTCCAAAGTTTAAATAAAGGCTTCTTCTTCATTTGGTCCAGTTTTGGTTTTGTGCAACTGGTGTCTCTCTCTCTCTCTCTGGTTTCTCTCTCTGGTCTCTCTCTGGTCTCACTCTGGCCTCACTCTTCTCTCTCTCTGGTCTCTGTCTCTGGTCTCAATTTGCTCTCTCTCTCGTCTCTCTATACTCTCTCTCTCTGGTCTCTCTCTTTTCTCTCTGCTCTCTTTCTGATCCCTCTCTTTGCTCTCTCTCTTTGCCCTCTCCCTGTTCTCTCTCTGATCTCTCTCTGGTCTCTCCCTCTTCTCTCTCTGTTCTCTCTCTGGTCTCTCTCTGTTCTCTCTCTGTTCTCTCTCTGGTCTCTCTCTGCTCTGCTCTCTCTCTGGTCTCTCTCTGTTCTCTCTCTTTGCTCTCTCTCTCTCTTACTTTTATGTTTTCTGCAACAATCGAATGACCTTTTGTCCCATTCAAAACATAGATGACTTTCTCATGACTAACCACTTTGAAACCCAAGGGTCCAGAGGATGCCAAGATGCCAGCCCTGACTACGGCACAAAAGACGCCAACCTGAACCCAAACCCAGACCCAGACCCAAACCCAGACTGGTCTCCCGGCTCCTCACCTGGTCCCTGGCCGGCTTGTGCGTGGCCATATGCCTCTCCAGCTGCGTGCGGTAAGCGAAGGTGTAGTTGCAGAGCGGACAGGCAAAGTTTTCCTCGTTTTTCTCGTGCCGGTACTTGATGTGCTCCTTCAGCGATGTTAGGCGCTTGTAGCCGCGGTCGCAGTAGGGGCAGGTCAACAGTTGGGCGAAAGCATCTGGCGTTCCAGGTGGCAGGTCTGTGGAAAGGGGAAGGGGGGGGGGACACGGGGAAGGGAGGAGGAAAAACGGGCCAAGAGGTCAGCAAAAATCAATGGCAGCTAATGGGAAGGCTGCCCAGAGTGGCATGGGAGTTATGAGTGCAATCTGCTCCTTGTGAGAGACACAGTGTTGGGGCTGGCATCCACAGTGACCCCCACCCCCCACTCCCCCCACACACACACACACACACACACGTCATCCCCATGTTGGCTACACTAGCGGTATTTACCAGAATTCACAAGAAGTTTTATTGATTTCAGTCCAGGTTGAGTTTGCAGATGTCTGTTCGAAGGCTTGAGTCTACCTCCATTAGAATTTATTATTGGTTTTTTATTAGATATTTAACCGAAAAGTGGCCGTTTTGTGTTGACTGGACTCTTTGTGACTTTGTTTTTTTGAATGAGTGATAGTACAAGTTGAATATTAAAACCATTTAGGTGGCGCAGAAGTCAACTCTAGATGAATCCAGGTCACGTTAGCCCTGTTTCCACCAGCCCTACTCTACCTGGTTGCCTTTTCGTTACTTTTTTAGTTTCTGATGGAGTACAACAGTGGAGGGAAGGGGGGGGGAAACTGGGCTTTTGGTGATTTGACTCATAATCTTTTTTTAAATAAAGTTCAGGACTGAAATATGTTGTCTGTCTAACTTCAAATTTAAAAAACAATAATCCATATAACTCGATAGACTTGAAACGTTCTCCTCAAATTGAACGCAAACATTTTTTCTCAAACTTATCAAAACAAATTCAAGATTCAAGTTATGCCACTATGAACACAATTTTTTTCTTTATTATCACATACTGCTTTCACCCCTCCCTCCCCTCTCTCTCCCCTACCTCCCCTGGATCGCTTTCTCTCCTATAGTATGACCGCTACATACCACGGCACACGTACAATGGACTTCGCACCGGCCTCAAATTTAAAGCAGTAGAACTTTGTCGACTTTTTTAACAATTCTCAAAATGTTCTTCGCATTCCAGATCCACCTTGCCTTTTCCAAACGTCATCTAATATCTGAGCCACGGGGGGATACGACCATATGACCGAAGCTACCCCCACCGGCGCTATGCAAAGACCTCATATTAACAGCGGCTAAGCTAGTTATTTTAATCAGCTATTTATAAGAAAGCATTGACGGTTCCAAACGCTATTGACAGAAGTGGCCCGGACTCTTTCTGTTTTATGATTTCCTGTTCGCGAGTTAACAGCTCGATCTGCTACGTTTTCAAGGTTTTTTTGTGTGGAATTTATGTTTATATTTGTTTTTTTGCATAGGATTTTGAGGATGACTTTAACACTTTCCTCTAAGAGATAATACGCTTTCTACGCTCTCTCTGGTCTCTCTCTGGTCTCTCTCTGGTCTCTCTTTGGTCTCTCTCTAGTCTTTCTCTGGTCTCTCTCTTGTCTCTCTCTTGTCTCTCTCTGGTCTCTCTCTGGTCTCTCTCTGGTCTCTCTCAGGTCTCTCTCTAGTCTCTCTCTAGTCTTTCTCTGGTCTATCATTGGTCTCTCTCTGGTCTCTCTTTGGTCTCTCTCTAGTCTCTCTTTGGTCTCTCTTTGGTCTCTCTCTGGTCTCTCTCTGGTCTCTCTCTAGTCTTTCTCTGGTCTCTCTCTGGTCTATCATTGTTCTCTCTCTGGTCTCTCTCTAGTCTCTCTCTGGTCTCTCTCTGGTCTCTCTTTGGTCTCTCTCTGGTCTCTATGTCTAACCCTAAAATACTTTTAAATAAGATTAAGCTTTTGACTTTGAATTTCACGCACCTCTAATCCTACAAAACTCTCTCTTCGTGCAATATCACTAAACTTAAGTACCCCAGCTTTAACCCCGCCTCTCGTGGCATTCTCCCCCTTTTAGTGGCGTTCTGTGGGACACACTTGAGCTCGGGTGAGTCAGGCCGCTCTCTCCTGAGGCTGAGGTGAGGGTCTCAGGTTTCAGGCCCCTGCCCCAGCTGTTGTCCCGGGACAGAGGTAAACAGTGAGGCATCCGGACCCCCGTCTATGGGAGCCACAGCTGCCCACGCGTGTCACGCACCCCGTCCAGAACGCAGGCTGGGAACAGGGCGCAGCTGAGGGCCAGGCTTCTACCCGACACTTTTAGGAAATATATTCGGACCGATAATACGTCTTGATATCTTTTATTTTTATTTTTTTATCTTTCTGCCTTTAGAGTTCAAATTGGAATGTCATAATTTAAAAAAAAAACTAACAAAGCAACAATAATAATGCAAAGAAAAATATGACATAATAATAATAATAATAATAATAATAATAATAATAATAATAATAATAATAATAATAATATTATTATTATTATTATTATTATTATTATTATTAAGGTTAAAGCTGGGTTGAGTTTGAGTGTTTCTTTTTTTATTTTATTATCAAATGTTACGACATGGAATTTTCAAACATCTTTTGCAATTACGTATACACTTATTATTGTTTTGAACAAATAGGTCGAATTGAAATTCAGTGAAAAAAAACAAAAACAATATACAGTACATGTATGTGAGAGACCAGAGAGTGAAACTTATGAGAGAGACTTATGAGAGAGAGACCAGAGAGAGAAACTTATGAAAGAGAGACGAGAGAGAGAAACTTATGAGAGAGAGACCAGAGAGAGAAACTTATGAGAGAGAGACCAGAGAGAGAAACTTATGAGAGAGAGACCAGAGCGAGAGACTTATGAGAGAAACCAGAGGGAGACCAGAGAGAGACCAGAGGGAGACCAGAGAGAGACCAGAGAGAGATCAGAGAGAGACCAAAGACAACAGAGAGAGACCAGAGAGAGACCAGAGAGAGACCAGAGAGAGACCAGAGCAAGACCAGAGAGACCATGGAGAGACCAGCAAGGCCAAAAATGCATGCATGAAAACTAATGATAGAAGCAAACCTTTTTCTTTCAGAGCCAAAATAATTAGTATTTGTATTATTAAAGATACATTATTTGAAAGTCAGGTATCCCAGCTTTAGTCATCATAAAACACTCAAATTCAAACAAACACTTGGATCGAAACCGCTCACAAACATTCACACTGCTACGGTTATTAAGAATTGGTGAGTTACAAGAAGTGGCCTCCGTAGCCTTGTCTTTGAGCGTGTTTTCAAAAGGCGCAATTAGTGTCAACAAAAGGTTTGGGAAAATTAATTTTAAAACAGCACATTGTCTAATTACACACTCTGTTGTACATTTGCAGTCTCCATTTGAGGTCATTGTTTTAGCGCTGTCTCCTCCATGAAAAAAATCTCTTACTGCTGCGGATAAATCATGAAATATACTGTGAGTATTTAAGATCGATAAGCGAATTGGTGTTGGTCAGAGATTGTACTTCACTCATAATTTTCATATTAATTATTATTATTAATTATTTTACTCATGAATGTGCTTCGAATAAGGTTTCTTTTGTAGGTTTGTGTCTCACTCTGGTCTCTCTTGGTTCTCTGTCTGATCTCTCTCACTCTCTCTCCGGTCTTTCGCTCTCTGGTCTCTCTCTGGTCTCTCTTGGGTCTCTCTCAGGTCTCCCTCTGGTCTCTCAAGTCTCCCTCTGGTCTCTCTCGAGTCTCTCTCTGGTGTCTCTTTTTTATCTTTCTGGTGTCTTTCAGGTCTCCCACTGGTCTCTCCTTATTTCTGTCTCTCGTCTCCCTGGTCTCTCAAATATCTCTGGTCTCTGGTCTCTCTCTGGTCTCCCTCTGGTCTCTCAAATCTCTCTGGTCTCTCAAGTCTCTCTCTGGTCTCCCTCTGGTCTCTCTTAAGTCTCTCTCTGGTGTATCTCAATTCTCTCTCTGGTCTCTCTCAAGTCTCTCCTTGATCTCAATTCTCTCTCTGGTCTCTCTCAAGTCTCTCCTTGATCTCTCTTTCTCTCTGGTCTCTCTCTCCTTTCCATCACTGAGCTATTACTATATTATTATAATCAATGTTTAAGCCAAACTCAAAAGCAGGTCACACTTTTTTACAGACGATTAAGAAACAAAAACCACAGACATGGCTGTAAATATATCGTGGCGTTTACCGTTCTCCTCCGGGCCGGCCGCTTCGGGGGTCCCCAGGCGCGACAGTTCTTCGGGGGCCTCTGGGTAGATGATGGCGGTGTCCCCCCTCTGTAGGTATTCGGCGATGCTGTCCACCTGGCCTTCGCTGTCGTGGAGCTTCCGTTTGGAGAAGAAGTCCTCAAACTCTGAAGTGCAATCCATGCTGTTTACTGCAAGAGAGCGGGACAGGGTGTTGGAGCATGTAGGCATTTTGGCACATATGATTGTCCCAGCAAGAAAAATCAAAATTCAGTCTGTCTTTCATAAATCTATTGGTAAATTTTGAGAGTAAAATTGCTAATTAATATTCTAGAATTTGTCAAACATCACCAGGAGCTTGTGTGAGAGAACACATCACCCCTGACAAACTGAATGTATTTTAACTGGAGGAAAAAGTTAGGTATCCCAGCTTTAATATTAGATTGATTGGTTGTGGGCCATAAGGCAATTCAGAAAAAATGCACAATATATATTGACAAATTTGTCTTCTCAAAACTTTTTTTTGTAAAAGTCCGACAGTAAACCAGCGGCGTAAACGTTGCTAATTTTGCGACACAATCAAAAACGAATGTTAGCATACACCACGTTAGCAAATCGCAAAGGGTCTAAGCTTTACACCAACATACAACAAGTCTATAACGGAGGAGCTGGATATGGCTGGATGACGCTTTTGTTAATGACTCTACTTTGGGTTAGAGTTTGGACACGCTTGCTCCGATCCAAACCAGGGGACAAAACAAAACGACACACACAAAAAATAATACTAAAGCGCGGCGAAGCAAGACTCGGGTAAAGAAAACATCCCGGAATGACCTAGATTATCTGTCTTGGAATGTGACGTCTGCGGAGCTTAAGGCCGTAAGAATCAGGTCCTTTTGAATACAGCAAAACGTAATCACGGTCTGCACTTTCACATGAAGGGTCAATCAGGCTGTGGCCAGATTACCAACCCACAAACTGGAATGATGACGAGAAGGGGAGGGGCCAACGACGGAGGAACAAACCACCACCACCACCGACGCTGCGGCTCTATATCTTAAGCCTGTCCCAAAGTGCTGAGGCAAACACAATGCGTTTTCTCTTTGCTGAAATTATTTCTCTTCAGCCGGACTCGTATAAGCTGTGGTTTATAGATAGCTCCAACGTCAAGGAAGAGAACCCGGAGAGAGCGCGGCTTTGAACGGTTGCAATAGTGATGTAAGAGGGATTGTGGTTTTGCCTAGTTTATCACAGGTACGGGGTTGGAAAAGGTTAGGGTTATTATTATAAAGCTACGGTAACTGACTTTGTTATGTGAGCTTGGTCTCTCTCTGGTCTCTGTATCAGCATTCTCATTGGTCTCTCTCTGGTCTTTCTCTGGTCCCTCTATCTGGTCTCTCTATGGTCTCTCTCTGGACTCTCTTTGATCTTTCTCTGGTCTCTCTCGGCACTCTCTGGTCTCTCTCTCTAGTCTCTTTCTGGTCTCTCTCTGATCTCTCTCTGCACTTTCTTTGGTCTCTCTCTCTAGTCTCTTTCTGGTCCCTCTCTCTGGTCCCTCTCTGGTCTCTCACATGCATGTATTGTTGGCCTCTCTGTCACATCTTTAGATCAGTTTTTTCGAGACAAATAAGTGAAACAGAAAGGACCACCCTCACTCTTTGCTCTCAACCCAAAAACAGACCACATGGACAAAAAGTTGGTTAAAGTTGTACCCCACCCATTTATCCAGAAAGTAGTGAGGCTCATTCATCTTTTCATTCATACATTTTGCTCCATCTATCTTCCCATCATGACCTAAATGTGTCCACTGTAAACAGAAAATGTCTTGGTGTTTGTTTTATGTGATGATTTGTGATGTGGACTGTGAAGCGCTTTGTGTTGCCCTGTGTATGAAAGGCGCTCTACAAATAAACTTTGATTGATTGATTGATTGATATCTCCCATATGTAGATCTAAGAACCATTAAACTGCATTCAACCCCCAAAAAGTGACGTCTCATCAGGGCCCATCTCGCTTAATTAGGCTTTTACAGCGCCGCCAAGGTGAGTTTAAGAGCCATTTGTTCGGCGGTCGTGACTGCGAGCGCCAATTTGCGAAAGGTCAAGGTAGCAGATATTCCGACAGTCAAAGATGGCACCCAAATGTCATGTCGAAACCAGGATCGCATCATTTACAGCATCCTTATTAGCGCTCCTGTTTATTCCAACTAATTGCGCAGGCTAGCAATCAGAAGCCAGGCGAGACTACGAAGGGAATGCCCAGCTCTCTGGTCTCTAGTCTAGGGTCTCGGCTCTCGTCTGGACTAAAAGAACGGTGGATTTTCGCGGCCGGTAAAGGAGGAAATCACCTGGATGCAAAAAGCGCCTTCAGGGTCGAGACGTGACCCAACTGAGAAGGCTCCTAAACGGAACCGTCTGTGCGGGATTGTCTCTGACCGGGTGTGTGCCGAATAAGAAACATTTGAGACTTACAGCAACAGAAGAAGATTCCAGATTTGATTTGCTATTTGAAGTAAAACCACATTGGACAAAACTGCGCAAGACTACCCCAGTGTGCACCAAAGCTCTTGCCAAGGCACCCTGAATGACACAGTATATTACATTTATTCAACTTTTGGATGTATAGATATAGATATACTGATATTGAAGCGTTTACAGCTAGCTAAGAAGCATAGTGGCTACGTATATTGTATATTTTGCAAAATGTCCTCCCTATTTCATTGCTTGTATGTCGTGTTTGAGCCCTCTGTTGATTCCTACTGACATATTACGCACAGTATTAAAGCTCGGATACCTCGCCTTTTTGTTTTATAGATCCCTGTGAGTCACTATTTGACATTTTGGGCCGCGAGCTGATTGTGCCGAGTGAGGTTTCTCCACTTTTTTTTTAAAGTTTCTGCCTAAAAAGCTTTTTATAAAGACACGACAGAAGGCAAGAATACACGTACTGTATAGAACCAAGCTTTAGATGGCTCTCTGTTTTTTTGTGGGTTTGAAAGTTACGTACCCCAGCTTTAAGTCTGTCCACAGAAGTAACCATGAGACAATATGTCAGCAAACACGTGCCCAGTCCGGTATAAAAAAAAAAACACATATGTCTTGACTCAGCTCTATGGGAAGTGTTTTGAGAGGGGGAGGGCTGACTTTAGTTGACTAGAGGAGCGTCCTAAGCTGGTTGTCATGGCGTCCAGTGATATCATGGTGGGGGGGTGGTAAGGGGGCTGGGGTTGGGGGGGTGCAGCTGCAAATCAGCTTAGTCGGCTTTAATGCGAAATGGCAGGTGGTTTTGCTTCCTCTAGGACGGACAAGACACTCAACGTTCAGTACAATCTAAATTCAGAACATAACTTATGTCACTGAAGCCCCATTTCCATCAGCCCTACCCTACTTTACTCCACTATACTCAGCTTTACATTACTCTACTCAGCTTTACATTGCTCTACTCTACTCGGCTCTACATTGCTCTACTCTACTCTTCTTTAGTACATCTTGGCCCAGTTCTATCCTAAGTGACAGTGATTGGCCAGGAGTGTTGAGTAGAGTATAGTAGAGTAGAATAGAGAAAAGTAAAGCAGTGCCAGGTGGAGTAAAGTAAAGTAAAGTAAAGTAAAGTAATGTAGACTAGAGTAGAGGAAAGTAAATTAGAGCCAGGTAGAGTCTGGTATATTAGAGTAGAGTAGCGCAGAGCAGAGTAGGGTGGAGTATAGTAGAGCTAGGTACAGTAGATTAAAATAAAGCAGAGCGGAGTAGAGTATAGCAGATTAGAGCAGAGTAGAGCAGGGTAGAGTAGAGAAGAGCAAGGTAGAGTAGAGCAGAGTAGAGTAGAGCAAGGTAGAGTAGAGTAGAGTAGAGTAAAGTAGAGTAGAGGAAAGTAAAGTAGAGCAGTGCAGAGTAGAGCCAGGTGGAGCAGAGTAGAGTAGAAGAGAGTATATTAGAGTAGAGTAGAGTAGAATAGTGTAGAGCCAGGTAGAGTAGAGTAGAGTAGAATATAGTAGAGTAGTGCTGGTGGAAACAGGGCTTTTGATTTGATTGCCGATGATTCATGTCGTGCACATTCAATGAGCGGTCGTCAAACTAACTCGGGTTTTTTCAAATTGAGTTAAAGTTGATGTTTGTGACACAGTGTTTGTTGCAAAGCGTCGCTGTGGAAACCGGTCCAGCAGGATCTGAGAGGGAACTAGCTTACCTGTACCGTTTCCAACTGACTGCAAAGGGCCGTCGGGCCCCAAGGCGTCGAAATCGTCCTTCATCTCGTCTGCAAAGAGAGAAGAAGAAGGAGATCCCAAGGTTAAAGACTGTTGGGAAACTCAGGGAAGCGGCATCTGGTCAGCGGCTGTACTGCCTCGCTTGCAAACCCAGGTCACGACGGGAGGCCAAAGTCGAGCGAGAGGCCCTTTTCGAAACAAAATTTGGATACAAACGATAACAACACATAATCAAAGAACTTAAACTCAATGTCCGTGTTACTGCCCCGTTTGCACCAGCCCTACTACGCTTCAGAATCCGGAACCGGGATCGTGACCCACCCACAAAAAAAAACAGTATTCATGGATCGTTTTGGTAACCATGGCGACCACCAGCACTCCGTCCAATCACAGTCAGTTAGAACACTTTAGAACCAGCTTGGCCTGGATAGAACCAGGACCAAAAGGGACTAAAGAAGGACATGGTACTGGTTAAACTGGGGCGGGGTTGAGACGAGTGTCGGTGGAAGTGCAGCTTTAAAGTAGAGTAGAGTAGAGTAGAGTAGAGTAGAGTAGAGCGTGTTGTACTGTAATGTGCTATACAAAAATATACAGACACTGACATGATTCCAACACTGTACATTTTTGTTTGCGACAATGGCTGAAGTCATTTTTGATTTGTTTATGTTTGACAAATCTAGCTACAAGTTGCACAAATCTGAAAGTATTACATCGTGTTCTGACATGTTTAAAAGTCTTGAAATAAAATTAAAACAATGGGAATCCCTAATTAACAAAGAGCAGTAATAGCTACTTCCTCCTTGATTACAGGCCCTGGGGTTTTACCTGCACCCGTCAGTCACACGGCAAAAGCGGCACGGCACGCTGCTTTGTTCGGCGTGTTTAATGAACGCTATCATCGGCGCCACACATTGACTTATTTACCTTTAACACGACAACAAGCGAAAGCGTGGGGCGCAGAGCGAGAGAGCGAGGGAGAGCGAGAGAGAGAGGAGAGGGAAGGAGGCTGAACAACGCGATTAAACCTCCACCTGAACAATCACAGGCGCCCAGCTAGCACCACGCCACCCCCGAGCGCATTACCGCCGCGCCGCCACGCCTCGGCCTCACATGCACCAGCACGCCGCCCGCCGCCGTCCGTCACTGGGAATGGCACATTTTGCTCAAATTGCTGCTTTTTTTATGCGAAACGTTATGCTTTAAAAGAAATGGCAACGAGAGCCGGAGTGTGCTAAACTATAAAAGATCTCTAACCACAGAAGGGGGGAGAAAGGGGAGAGGGGGAGGCAGAAGCGGGGAGGGGGTGGAAGGGGGGAGGGAGAGCTCATTGGTCAGGGGGGAAACCTCGAAGGGGGTGGGATTGTTGAAAAATGTGGGGGAATGAGAAACAGGATTAAAACAAAGTTGGAGAAAGCAGGCCTTACTTTCGCAACAATCATTAAAAATTATGACCAAATATTTATGGCGACGTTTCCACCAGCTCTACTCTACTCTACTCTACTCTACTCTACTCTACTCTACTCTACTCTACGCTAGTCTACTCTACGCTAGTCTACTCTAATCTACTCTACCCTACTCTACTGTACTCTACTCTACTCTAGGCTACGATACTAAAGCATATTGGAAATGTAACCGAGTAGATTAGAGTAGAGTAGAGTAGAGTAGAGAAGAGTAGAGTAGTAAGTAATCTAGTCTTTAAGGGTTGTGATAGGGCCAAGTCAAGCTGGTGGAAACAGGGCTAAAGTTTTCAGGTGCTGTCCAGTCCCATCACCTTGACATTTACGGCATTCTCTGTTCCTCAATGTCAGGCTCAAGATTTCAACTCGATTTTAAGAGAGTCCCATAGCAGCGCAGGGGATGCCGATCGGGATAATGGCCTGGCACAGGTGAGCCGACATAAATAACCAGTGTGGACAGGCTCGTAAACAGAAACCTGCCCCCCCGTGTATGTGGTACGGGTGGGCAAGGCGACGCTAGGTTATCCTGCCTTGACGGGCCCACAAATTCAATCAAGGTGCTTCCCAGAATCCCTGTTTGCAATCTCCGTGAGAGACCGAAATGTATTTGCACATCTGTCCTCTCTTCCCTGCACACAAGGCATATTCATTTGACACCAAAGAAGTGGCAACCCTACACGGTTAAGGTCGATTTTTTTGTCTCTGAAGAGAAATTTGTCCTATGCCTTTGTTCTTTTCTTTCTCGCCACGAGGGACCCATCTCCAGATCTCGAACCAGGATTACCTCGCTGTAGGATTAGCTGTGATGACATTGCGTCGTGTTATTGGGAAATTGGAGCACCTTTTGGAGACCCACCAAGACGCTGGGAGCCGAGACAGACCTTCAAACACAAACCCACCCCACGCAATTTCGACATTTGATTACGATAGCACATGGTTGCTTATCTATTTCATCAAAAACAACTAGGTCTTTCCATGCAAAGTCCGCAGTGGAGGCCCGGTCCCCATTGAAAGCATTCAAGTCTTAAAGTCTTGAGAGTGCATGGGTGGGTGTATTGTTGATCATATTGTTTTCCTGCTTACATTACGCCCAGGGCAAGAGCCATTCTCCCTTTGTGCGAGTGTTTTTGTGTGTTTGTGGAACGCTCACGACGTCAAGAGTTGCCGATGCTTTCAGATGCAATCCTTGGGTTACGCAAAATTAAAGATTTGGCTGCTGTGGTGAGATGATAAATACCCTTGTCAATGGCTTGGCGGAATAATGACAGGCTCTTCACAAACGCCTATGTCCTACTTTAACTTTCCCCTGTGTGTGTTTTTTAACAACATCTGAACCGCCGAGGAGCATCTTCACCACAGCCCGGAGTACATAAACGCCTTTTCAACGACATAAATTAAGCGGTGACAAAATAAACACATTGAAAATAACTCTCCACCACAAATTAAAACAGTCGTGAGAATGGTGTCGCCGCCGGAGAGTCCGCCAAAGACCCGAGGTCGCTTTAGGTACAGAGTTTAGCCTTTCATTTAAACAATTTGCCTAGTTTTCCAGGAGGCCCTTTGATCAATTTCAATGACATTTTTTAGTTCGACTAACCCCGACAGAATTTGTTTATGGAAGATGTTTTATGGTGGACCATTTATAATAGAATTGAGTAACTACATCATTTCAGGAGATCTATAGTGTTTGATTGTTTAGTTCATGGGTTCAGCTCGAGAATGGTACAAGTGAAAAAAAATGCTAATCGACCAATCTATCCATGTTCTTCTGCTTTCTCCGTTGCCGGGTCGCAGGGGCAGCTATCTACACAGAGACATCCAGGCTTCCCTCTCCACATACACATCCTCCAGCTCATCCGGAGGAATGGTGGGGCTTTCCCAGACCAGCTGAGAGACATTGTCCCACCAGCCTGTCTAAGGTCTTCCCCTGGTCTTCTCCCGATGGGACATACCCTTCCCCAGATAACCCAGTTAAAAACGGCAATAGATAGTGCACTTATAGAACTTATATTAATACAAAATTGAGGTCAAGAACGACAGGGAAAATGTCTTTATCCTGCATCGTGCCTTTGTTTACAGACAAAACCAGCTGTAATTGTTTTGCTCTACCATCTTGTGCGGCAAACGGTGCAAACTTTTGGCCGCATAGTTTGGACGTGATGCAAAAAAATGAACGCGGAAGGATTCTGCGGAGGGACTCCAGGCCCCTGTTTACTTTGGAAAACTGTTGTTATCTGAGAGGACTGAGAGGAGAGGCCCGCTTCCAGGAGAAGGTAGAGTAATGCCGCTGGTACCTCTGCTCGCTGTGGACACTGGCGCGCTAGCAAAGAGTGGGAGAGAAAGTGGCAGAGCGCAGGACGGCTTGCCAAAAAGAATAGAAAGAAAATCAAACAAGGTATAATACAAGAGGGCTCTGGTTTCGCGCTGGTGAACCGCAACTATGTACCATTCTTAGTCATGGAAAGACTATTGGATGAGAGTGTCCGTGGAGTCGTGTTGTGGCAGCAGTAAATCACAGCGGAGCCAAAGCGGTAAGGTACACAGCGTCTTGAAAGAGCGAGAGAGGAGGTTGGACCCGGGAGGTGTCCGGAATACCTCTGCTGTACGCAATCACTGTGTTTTTATAGCACACCGGAGCTGTTTGGGTAGAAAACATTCCCATTTTTACGGCCTGGTCACCGCAAGCCTGGCCGCTTTCAAGTTCTGGCCCAGTGCGTTTACGCTCGTTCGTCTTGCTACACATTTAGGGACAATGTAAACATCTTTTGAAACGAGGCGCGTTGGGAATATAAGCTTTTGTTATATTTCAGGTTATTTGGAGAGCGTATTTCAAAGTGGGTTAGGTAATGGCAAAGCTTAACCTGGGATGCCATTAGCTGTCAAATAATGAAGATGTATGAGATCATAGAGAGAGTGTTTTTTAAAGCATCCATCCATCCATCCATTTTCTTCCCTTTAATCCATTTCTGGGTCAGGGGGGTGGCAATCAGAGATGCCACCCAAGTCTCATAGCACCAGCCCCTCACTGACCCTCTGCAGGTGGTGAGTCCACAGGAGGACGGCTGCTCTCTGAGTGTGAGCATAGCCTTGATCTTTCAGTGGGGGCTTTTTGGGCAAAGTGGGGTTAAGTGTCTTGCCCAAGGACACAACGACAGCAGTCATCAGTGGGAGTCGGTGGAGAAGGTGCAGAGGTGGGAATTGAACCCACGACCTTCTGGCCTTAAGGCCAATGCTCTACCAACTGAGCTACTGTCGTTTTTTAAAGCAAGGGGGGTCAAACTAGTTTTGGATCCAGGGAGAGAGACTAGGGAGGGACTAGATAGAGAGAGCGGGGAGAGAGGCCAGAGACAGAGAGCAGAGGGACAAACTAGACTAGAGCGAAGAGGGACAGATGAAAGAGTGAGACCAGATGGAATAGAGAGAGAGACCAGAGAGAGAGCAGAGGGCCAGACCTGAGATGACAGAGTGAGATCAGAGACGGACCAGAGAGAATGGAGAGAGAGACCAGAGAGAGATAGGGACAAACCAGAGACTAGAGAGAGTGAGACCAAAGAGAGACCAGAGGTAGAGTGAGAGAGACCAGAGAGAGACCGGTGACAGATACAAAAGAGACCAGAAAGGATTCAGAAAGACTAGACAGAGCCTGCGTTTACTTCATATACAACTTCATTTTTACGCCATATCAAATGTCGTAGATTTGTCATGTGAACGTGTCAGAATCAAGAGAAAATCACAGTGTAATCCACAGCCAGAAGAGTTGTGTGTTCAGAACAGGACAAAGCTGCCAAACGCAAGAAAACTTTATACTGAAATTGAGCAAAGGCGTAGGGCCAATAAGCTAACCCCCGATGACAAAGTGTGATTTTATTTCAAGTCCCAACCCCAGCGTCCCGCCCTCGAGCGCAGCTTTTTAACGGGGCGGCGAGAGAAAGCAGGTGATTTATTTGAAAATGTCTGTCAAAGATTGTGATGTCATGCTTTCCAAGGACAGCTCCAGACCACTGCTGCAGCGGTTAATGCCCATTACAAAACCCTTCTTTTTCGCACAAAGGCCTTTCAACTTTTTGCCGTTTGTCAGCCGGCATTACAGAGACACTGTCCAAGCTTTCTCCATAACCTGTCAGAGAGAAAACCTGCGCTGAACAGGACATGGATGAGTGGAAGGAGGGGTGAGGAGAAGAGAGGCGAGGAGGGGTGTGAACTTATCTCAGGCCCAAGTTATGTGCTGAGGTATCACTGCAGACACTAAGGCACCGCGGAGGAAAAAAAATAAAAGTCTGGGAAACACACTGCACCCGCAAGATTGAGAAAGAGACTCCCAAACGCTCTAATGAACTTGAGTTGCTCGGCGAAATATGTCAGCCACTTTATCACACGAGAGGCGTATTATCTGGGATTGCTACATAGTTGAATTACAGACATTATGGCACCGCGGGTCTTTATCAAATAAACAATTACCATATGCAACGACAGCTTGTTTATCCTTTATCTTGATTTATTTACCGTAGTGTCTCTGCTCCCCCCTCCTCTTAAACACCACGACAAATCTGTTATTTAGCAGAATGTTGATCCTAAGCTAAGTTTCTTTTTTCATCGCTAATAAATGTGCAATTTTCTCCCATATTAAAATTTAAGAGTGCAGAATGTTCCCCGGGTTTCTCGCCACTGTGCACAGCTAGTTCATTAGCAGAAATGAATAGCAGAGGCCAGCTCATTTAAACCGGCTGTCGTACATGACTTCTCGCCGTACTCTGTTCCTGTCACATGCTTCCAAGAATCATTGACTCTTATTATACATGTAAATGGCTATCATAAAAATAAAAATTTCATTTAAGATTGTTAATGACTTTTTGCAGCAGTCTGGCTTCCTTTAATGATTATACCCTGCCCCTAATTAAAAGTATTTATCTTTCAAGCATCCGTGACTGCAGAGGGAGGCACATGAGACAATAAAGACCTGCTCTGACAAACACAGGTTTTCTTCCCGACGGTGTGGGGTTAGATTCACCTGATGGTTTTAAAGGGAAGATCTTTAACACATGTGGTTTGTAAGTGTTTGGCAATGGCCGATTAAGAAAAGAGTAAGTATTTTTTTCAAACTCTTATTTTAAAACAAGATACAGAAGGGTAGTTTGAAAAAGACAGTTTGAAACGGGTTTGGACAAAGCCAAAGATACAAAACACACACCATACACATACAGAATAATTATTTATCATCATATTTATATTTAATTTTTATCTATATTTTTTTATTTGAATCTTCTGGTTTCATCGTGTTCAACCAGTGACGTCTGATTGGGTATTTTAATGATAATGAACTTCTTTGCTGCACTATTGAAACTCCCTTGTTTAATGTTAGATTTAAATAAACTGGATTCAGCGTTTTTTTCCCCCTGTTTTTTATGGAACCCTGAAAATATACAGGACTATCCAAATCTATAAGAGACTGAAACGAACTAAAACTATGTACAAAAAATGTGAGGGTCATTCTTTGTGGGAAACCAGGTATACAGTAGCTGCTGCAGAAATACTGGTACTTTTTGGATTAATATCGGTTAAAATATGGTTGAAATTGACCAGTTTTGAAGCAAGTGTAGAAAAAAGATCAGACTATATGCACTCCCTGATTCCAACATGGCCGAAGGAACATAAAAACTCGCCGATTTGGACGCCACGACTGTCGCATTTCTCAAAATACGTGTTTTCCTCTCTGTCCTTTCGCAACAGTAAAACAGTTTCTCTTATTTTCCGAGGTTATACATAAATGCAAATAGTTGTTGTTGTCTGGCTCAGGGTGGGGCTTTGTGTAAGCGCCAACCAAATGGTGTCCTCTGCTCGCAAAGAAACTGTTTACGAGGAGCGGCAGGCGGCGGCGGCGCTCCTCCGGCAGACCTGGCTACAGCCGTGTTTGCCCAGCGCTCGCCGCCGTTTGTCTAAGTGAGCGCGGGCACCAGATGGGAGGGGCTTACCGGCGCAGAACAGGCATCGGCGCCAGGATGAGCACACAGCCTCCGAGTCTGAGTCTGCACGAATGGACACTTCTATCTTTCACCTGAACTGGATACATCTGTGGGAGTGTGATCAAGAGCGTCCCCGAATCCAGCTGTTCAGACGTTTGGAAATGCAGGTTTTTAACTGTCTGGAGCAGGGCACTTCAACTGGGTGCTCAACGGGGTCATGTGGCTGCTGGTTCATTCCTACTGTTCTGTAACTTGTGATGCAACACTGAAATTTCGCTGATGTGGGACAACCTTGGCTACAAATGACGTAGTTTTTTTCACATGTTTATTATTACTCTGTTTCTATGGAATACCAGCATTGAGCTCGTGTGACTCAATCTAATGAAGCAATTTTTCGATGTAATCATTTCTAAAGAATCATTGGAAAACTGAATCAAACCTGAATTTCTCCATTGTGAGATCAATAATAAAAAAAAATTCTCCACTCATTTCCTCAAGTGAGTCCAGTCTTAGCGTGAAGGCTTGAGGGAAGTGGGAGGAGTCCAAGCTCCTACTTGGTTGGAATGAATACCTGCAGCCACACAACCCTTTGAGGACTGGTTGGACATCCTTGATCTGGAGTATATACTGTATTTTTACACGTTCAGGTTTCTTCAGCTAAAGATCAAGAAGACATGTTTATTTTGTGTGCTATACATCATATTGTCCTGTGTTGTGTGCTCCTCATTCTTAGGTTCTGTATTTTGCGATGCAACACTGACATTTCCCCACTGAGGGATGAATACATGACTTAATCTGGTCCACTCACATTGACAAACACAACCGTAGGACCAGCTAATGAGCCGGAGTTCAGACTATTCATAAAATCCCACGATAAACTAGACCAAGCCCAGGACAGGAGCCACACATATTCATAAACACAGAGACGTCTTATCACTTTTCAGAATAGCTTTTCTTGGAACTAATCTCTGGATGTTCTTTCCGTCGTTCGTCGCAACAGATTGAAGATTTGCTTTCACAAACATTTATTGGACGCAAAATTAATCTTGCACTTAGTATTTGTTGTGCCACGGAAACTTATAGCCAAGAAGTTTCTGCCGAGAACAAACACAAACTCTCTGAGAAGTGAAGCTGCAGGGAGGGAGGGAAAGTGGGAGGGAGGAAGCTCGACTCACCGGCGCCATCTACGGACGCGCTGAGCATATCGTTGTCGGGCCAGATGTGCTCCACGCCGCTGTCTCGCATCTCGTCGTCCTCGTCCTCTTTACCCAGCATCCCGTGGCTCTCGATCCGCGGGGAGGCCTCCGGATTGGTCAGGCTTCCGGGGCTCCCAGTCCCGTTCAGGAGCGGGTCTTCCTCGGACACCGGGAGCTTGTCGTCTTCCTCCGAGTCTGATCCGGTCTCCACCACGTTCTCATAGTTCAGTGCTAAACAGAGAGAGAGAGAGAAGGAATGAGGAGAACGTAAGTCTGGGTTTAGGAAACAGTCATTTTAACAAGACGTAGCTTTATGCGACCGCGAGCACTCATAACTCATGTGTATATTGCAAAGAAATGACATCGAAGCATTCCCACGGACGCAGTATTCCCAGTGGACGCATGTTTTTAATGCGCAAAAAGCGGTTCAAACGTGAAAGTTAAATGACAGACAGAAATGACAAAAATATGGCCATGTTGTTTTGGAAATTGTGGTTTATTCCCAGATTAAAAAGGTCACCCCACATCACTGCGCTGCTCCAAGGCGTGGGTGCGCTTTTTTTCTTTTTTTTTTTTTTTTTGTGGGTTACACCCCAATTACAGCATCCACTCCTGGAATCCGCGCAGGGCCTGGCGGTCGGGTAGACAGCTGGAGGGAGATGCGGCCAAAATAGCCACTAATTTTCAGTGGCGCTCGCATGCCTGGGATACCAACGAGCTGCACCTTTGGAGGAGGTTCCCAGCGCAGCCGTCACGTTTGAGATGCTCCACATACTGTAGCGCACACGGTATTACACATGTGATTGCTCTGCATACAAACGGCTTAACCTACACTCCTTTTGGTTTATTCATTGCATGCACCGTCGTGTTGCGTGAACCGTGAACGTAAATGTATTTTTCTGAACATATATAGAGACATGAGGGAAACCTGAAGCACACACAGACACAGACACACACTTAAACACATGCACACACTTACATACTTACACATATACACACCCATTTGCCTTCCCACATAACAAAACGTAGAGATTTAATGTCTCTCTATCCATGTAAAGATGTATGTTATGTATTTATATATATTTGCTATTATTAATATTGTTATTACTTTACTATTTTTTTTAACTTTTTTATCAGAATCTTTTCCCTGAATCAGTATTTGTATTTTTGATGTATTTGTCTCATTCAATTCTTACTATATATTTTTTTCTGAACATTAGAGACATGACAGAAACCTAAAGCACACACACACACACACACACAAACACATGCGGACACCCACAAACACACACACACCCAACACCGGCAGGCCCCACAACACTCAGGTCCAGCACATATGCCACTCTCTGCCTAAAATAGACGGCTGTAAATACGGCTGTGAACTCAATCAAAGGTGTGCGAGCGAGTCCACCGCGGGCAGGTTGTCGGTTGTCGGCGTGGACTCGGCGTAAATCGCGGCATAAAAGGACGTCACAAGACTTATTGGTGGAGCGCAGATGGAGCGGCGGGCGAGCCAGGAACATGGCATCGCTCTGGGACACACCTCATTGGCAGCACGTCCAAGAATGTTCTGTGGTGGAGCCAATCGCTGAGAAGGCTGGTAGTGAAGAGGTGGAGGCTGTTTTATGTGGATTTATGTCACACAGCCATAAAAAAGGCTACAGCTAGCTCATAAGTCAGCCGTCTTTAGTAAAATCAACAGATTTATATCTGATAGCTCTGCGATGGTGTGTCCCCTTTATATTTGAACATAAATACAAACAGAATATGCAGAATGCCTACTACCGAGACCATTCTAGAGACGCATATTTCACCAGGGAAGGCCTCGGCACTTGAACCTCCTCAGAATCAAGAGGCAGATAAAGTCCGTGCATGACATTTGCGCTGGCGTTTTGTGCATTTGAGAAATAAGCATGATCCATCTCCTCTCAACATGTCTGGAGCGAGTGACCGGTCGGCACTTGTCTTCAGCGAACAACTGCACAACAGGTGCAAATTAAAATGAAAACAGGGCTTTCAGACATGGGAGGAGAGGTAGAGAGAAGGGGGGGAGAGTGGGGGCTAGGGGGGGGGCAGGGGGTCGTGTAGACAAGAGGGGGAGTGCGTGAGCGCGCTGACCTGCCTCGAATACCAATCGACGGAGGAAACAAAACCTTTTCAAGAGGTGTGATCACAAGGGTTTAGGCAAGTTCAGACTCAGTAATGCTCCTTAGAGACGACAAAAAGGCAGCGCGGGCTGGAGACCACGGGCGGAATGAGACGTTAAAGATTCCTGGGTGGTCCGCCGCAGTCACACCTCCATCGTGTTCGCCCGTTATCTGAGCTCATACATATCCGACTATATTAGCACCTGTCTAACACCTCACAATGGCCTGGACTTTCAACAGCCCTGCGAGATTAATTCCCCTTATAAGTAATAAGCACATCGTGATTTAGGAATTCCCCTTTGTGCCCTATCGCCCCCAAGGTCCTGAATCCCTCATAGCTACGCTCAGTCATGTCTCTACCCCCTAACTTTTCAGGGAGGGGGCGACAGGAACAAAGGGCCGGAGGCTTGGGAAGCAATCGGCCTTTTCCCTGTGAACCTGATCTCGGGGACGCAGACTCAATGATGGCGGAGCAGGGGACACTGAATAAAATTATCTCAGGCTGGACAGGTTCTATAGAGCCATTCTTCTGGCAGTGCAGGACAGGGGGAGCTTCCTTTTGATGCAGATAACTTGTCAGAATAGTCACCATGTTGAGGCAGGTGCAAAGACAGAGCCTGCCTCGAATTCCCCAACAACTTTTGAACGCATATGCACCATTCGATAAGGACTGTTTTTGTCTTTGTGCGAAAGATTGCAGAACCTAAACATGAAGTTTAAAGCATAAGAGGTTCTCCAAGAAGACTGCAAAGGTGTCAGGACTAAAGGGCATAAGACAAAAGTCCTTCCAAGGACAATAACGTTGAAGATTCGGATTAATTTCTCTTCTGACGGAGGAATTTATCTTGGAGCAGTGGTTTAGTAGTACCACTAACAGAAGGCAAAACAATCATCACACATCTGTATATTCAGTGAAGGTTGTTTAATAGTTTTAAGGATGAACAAATTCTTATAACGTTGCTGTTACGCAGAGGAGTCCTGTACCTCCTCAGGTCATACTGCACTACATCGGGTCATACTGAGAGTGGAGGAGTCTCTGATGAGTTTCTGAGCCTGTCTCACTTCTCAAAAACAGTGTTTGGACAGTGACACATCCACTCAGAATGGACAGTGACACACCCACGATTTCAACAGCTGTTTATTTGCAGTTTTGAACCCTGAACCTTGTGCAATTAAGTAACACAAAAACACAACATAGTCACTTTTGCAGCCTGGGCCTTTGCTTGTGTTCGAATCCAACGCCCAGTCAAATCTTTGTATGTTGCAGTATTGCTCTTATACCCACAAGCAGTTTTTACACTCCACAGAACACCAAATATCACCAAAAGATGAAATACGCTGTCAGTAACTGTGACCCAGGCTAACTCAGAGCTTCTTTAACTACTTATTTAAGGAAGTAGACTTGTACCAAGACCTGCTATACCATAAAATACAGAAATCAAACACATATCACAACATATAAAATCTAAAATTGGTCAGAACGTGCAACATGTGGCAAGTTCTTCTCCGTCTACAAACTTTAAAACCTCCTATTGCCACTCCACGATCTGGTTTGGTTTTCCCGTCCACAACTTTGTGAACAATCTGTAGTGCGGGGGAGTTGGAGCTGTCTCCTGAATGTTCTCTTCCACAAACGTCAACCGTCATCCTCCGCACTCCGACGTATACCTCCAAGAAGGCGAAATGACAGTGGGGTGCTTGTCAAGTCGTAGCATTAACGTCAAGAGGAGGCCATTGTTTAGGTGCCAGGGCTGACAACTGCCTCTCCCTCTCCCAACGTCAAGCATCTTTCGGTATTGTGCCACGCAACAAAGTACTTCTAACCTACTAATATTTCGCAGGCAGTTATTTTGTCCCCCAAAGCCCGCTCCTAATCAGCCTTTTGTGCTGTGGAGGATTGAGGAAGACAAAAGATATTGTTTACTTCACAAATGCCTCGGCTCCAGTCTATTTTTCTTACCTTGAGTGTCATCTCTGACAATAGCAATTACAGTTTAACACGCTACCTGTTTGAGAAGCCGCCATTGTTTCCATCCATTAAAAGGTAAATAAAAGAGCTTTGACTGCCGCAGTGAAGATAATGAAAATGACACATGTAACTGCACAATTCGGGTTTAATATTGGGTTTTTAACTATCTGACATAACCCTTTCAAAGACCTGGCATTATCCTGTCACTCGGCGAAAGTACACAGTGGAGGGATATTGTATATTGATTAGAGCAGGCTGGAAGCAGCGGCAGCCTTGGAGCGATGCAGACTCACTAAAGACCCGCTCATTCCTTTTGATGAAGATAAATAAAGTGAAAAACAATGTTGGAGGCAATACTTCAGCGTCGACAGCTGGAATCTGCAGATACGAGGGGAATTAGTGTAGTGTTCCCAACTCCAAATCTGAAGCCCATCGAGTTTACAAAGTGGCAGGTTTGACACTGTATGAATAGCAGCCGTGATCAAGAATGCCTTTAATGTCGCAGCCATAATCGGCTCCCATTAAAACTCTCTATGATTTGGGTTTTGACAACTGCTGTCTGGCCACATGCTGCATTCAAAGTCGCGCCGAGAAACGACTTTGATGTTGACCCCTACATCTGCTTGCAGAAACTTTTGGATGACGTGGCGGCGATGGCATGCAAGAGTGTGACTGTAAATAAAGTGGGATTTCATATTTACGGTGCTTGTGAAAAAAATTACACCCGTTGGAAGAAAAGAAACAGCAAAAATCAAAGCACCTCCGCTCGCAGCCTTTTCAGAAATCTCTCTGAGTGCGGAACCCTCGTCTGAAAGTGTGCACCTGCTCTCTGCACTTGGAGGAGCACTTTGCGAGCTGTAACAGGTATAATCATATTTATTTAACAATCCCAAAGCCGCGGAGGAGGAGCGGTGGAGGGGGCAGCCGGGTTGCCAGAGCCAGAGGAGCGCGCAGGAAGCGGTTTCGGCGCTCGGAGAGGTGATGGCTGCAGGGAGGGACTGGCTAACACCCACGGAAGCTGCTCTCACGCTAACCCTGGCTGACTTTTTTAGCGGAGTGTCGAGGCTTAGCCCTAGGTGACACGCTCGGCCTCCTACGCGGATAATGAGCCAGGACAGCCTCCCTATTGGACAGTAAGTGCTGCCCATCTCCCGGATGAAGCCCATCACCTGGATGGCCGCGAGGAGGTTGCTTGGTTTTTTCCGGCGAGGGGTTTGAGTGGGCATGAAAGGTGCGAGCCGGGGCGCCAAAGCCTCCTGGGTGCAGCCAGAGCTAGCCGGTCCGCGGGCCGACCTTTTGCCTGCCATTGTTCCTGTCTGCGAGAGTTTAAGCAATTCATTTTTCTATCTCTTGGCAAGCTCTCACCTAGGAACAGACTTTACAACACTCCAGAAAGACTTTGGCAAGGTTACAGCCAACTTAAATGGACTCTCTCTCTCTCTCTTTTTCTCCTTGTAGTAAATTACAGCAGTGTATTGGTGTGTTTACCCAAAATGAGAACATTTAGTGCAGCTATAGCAACCGGTAAACCAGCACTCGCAACTGTCACAAGAACGCATGATCTCTGCAAAGATTTTGATTCAATCTCATGTTCAAACTAGTCCAAAACACGCTTTTCTTCATCCAAAATACACCATATCTTGCTAACCTTTGTCCCGGCAGATAAAGTTTTGCCAGATGATTGCAAAAAGGCCTTCTTAAGCTACAATAGTTTTGCTGCAGTAACCATAAAGCCATGTTTTGGATATTTTTCCCTATCTTGTCCCTGGATAATGGTGAGATCGGGCACAAGGGCCACATCGGGGCCAAGTCGGTGAAAGGACGGTGGCAGAGGGCAAACAAAAGCCCTGAAAGGAGACAAGAGAGAAAGAGTGAGGCGACGGGGTGAGGGAGGGGGGAGCGGGTGAGGTGGGGGCTGGCGTGGGGAAGATGAATAGTGAAAACTCAGTCAAGTGTAAACTCGACCTGGGACAGTGCACCGCTCTGGTCAGCAGCGCCCGAGGAGGAGGGGCCACAGCGACCTGACTTATACCAGGGCCAAAGAAGTTACAAAACACTCTTATTTGACGAGCATGTTACACCAGAATGATTGACAACTGGGAGGACCAATAGTCTTGGTGATCCGCCTGGAAGTAAAAAATCCTTCTATAGACCTTTAAGATCAGAGAACCTTTAATTGTAAATTACCAGATAATCAAACCAGATACAAAATGATAGTATATTATTATATTATTAAGATCTCATATTCTCGTCTCTCAATATAAACTTAAAATCTTTCACAATAAGAGCTAAGCCTATGGTCAGGCAGTATTTTAACTTTTTACTGCCTAGACCATTTCCATATACTGCCCAAACACACAAAAAGAACTAAGTATATATACTCACTGATGTTAGCATGTTTCACTGGATAATATTGTAGATTAGCAGCATATGACCAGAATAATATTAACAACAGCAGGTAAAGTCATATGTTTATATGTGTGTCGTTCTTCACTGTGGAAAAATCTCTTCAAAATTAATGAAAAAATTGAATTAGGCAGTTGTTATTGCTATCTGGGATCTCTCAAAATAAGATGGCTGATTGAACAAGTATTCTTTCTGTCCGATGGCGCTTTTTAATCCAAAATCTCGTTTTCTTTTGAGCTGTAATGTGTTTTCTTGGTTTTGTTTACTAATAAAAAGTGGCATCTTTACACCTTGCCCTGGGAAAAAATTAAATTAATTAAATTAATCATAATTACTACTATTTGCTTTCTGTGCTGTGAAACAAATGTGTAAAAATGTTCATCCAGTTTTAAACCGATTTTTGAATTTTCTGGTAAAAAACTGTACATATTAGTGATTTGCACTGAGACAGTTTGTCCAGTGTCCCGGCAATCACCGCTGCGTGGTCTCAATCTGAGGAGAGAGACACTAATTCAATTAAAATCTCATTTATTTGCTGAAGAGGCCCAGGAGGAGCAACAGGCTCCGGGTGCAGGCTATGAGTGAGAAAGTGATATATAAGGGTTGGTGGTGGGTTCTTAAGAGAGAGGGGGAGGTGGGGGATAGTTTACTCAACAGCTCAGACCGGGCCCACCTTTGCCTGGATCACAGGCCCTCGCCTGGATCCACCATCTGTGTGCCCCCACCCCACCCCATCCACCCTGCACACATGTTCTCGCCTCCATGCCTCTCCCATCTCACAAGCCAAAAAAACAAAACAAAAAAGATGCACAAAAGCCTTCCCCTGGCTGCCCTCAGGACTCCCAGGCCAGGAGAGTGGGAGGTGGGATAGGTTGTGGAGAAGACAGGGGGGGGGGGGGGGGGGCTGACTGGATTTTGGATTTTGGGTTAAGGCACTATAGAGAAGTTGCTTTTTTTCTCTTTTTGCATTCCAGGTGCCATGCGGCGTTACCTTGGCCAACGTCACGCCGCAGGAGTGGTGGAAAGAAACGGTTAAAATTAGAAAATTTAATTTATTTGATAATTTCCCAGAATAATTAGAGTTAATATGGGTTAATTAATATGCAAATCTCTGAGCAGATGTTCGGTAGCGCGGCTAAGCACGGCTGTGGCAGGGAAGGAAAGAAAAAAAAAAAAAAAAACAGCTTCTACTTTCTCCTGCCTGGTTTTGGCTGTCAGTTATTGGGCCGTAATTACTGTAACTAACCAAACACACACAGGAAGACAAAATGCGTTCACAGCAGCTCCCAGATTCAGAGTCTTCTCACACACATAAAGGCGGACCATCGCTAATTCCCCCTCTCTATAAAGAGCCCTTTTACGCCGCGGGCCAGTGAATGCCGCGCGTACTTTAAAGTATTTGAAATTTGCGGCGCTTTGTACACAAAACTGAGGAGTGTGAAGGCAGCGCGCGGGCCGCATTGTGACCGCGGCACCTGCGTTTGGGGCGCGCGACTCGTGTTTACGCCTGTTTGCAGCTGATATTACCGTCACACACATAATACAACAGTAGGACCAGGAATGTGCGCGTGAGCAGCCGGGCGCATTAGCATAAAAATGGAGTTCCTTCATCAGAGAGAGATCTGCACTTATTCAGATTTCTCTCTTTCTCGTTCCCCCATCCATAATAATAAATACACATTAAATTCACTGCTGAAATGTAATGAATATGTCAAGAGCCAGATTTGTTGTCAAACCCCAGGTCAGGCCGTTAAAAAGCAATAGACACATGCGAGAGATAGAAACAAGACACATGAAAAAGATTAACTACAAATGTAAATAATAGGAGCATCTGAAAAACGGTCATTTTTGACATATTTGAGCCGTGTTTGGATTTCAAGGCTAACTTCATCCATTAGCATGATAACTCAGGGCTATCAGCCTCTAGCTATTGTCAATAGAAGATGACTTTTTTTGGGTTACGCAGGATAAGTCTTCAGCTCAAACATCTTTTGTTCAGGCATTATTTAGCACTAAAATTTTTAATCTATACATTCTAGTTTTTATTTGACTTATTGTGTATAACATGTCTAAGATCTAAATGTGCATGAAGAAGAAAATAAACTACAGCTACTCTTACAACTTTTTTACCTTGAGGACAGCCCAAACCGTCTCTCTTCCTCCTGAGCGTTCGAACACGTGGTGCGAGACAAGGTTGTCCACTTGTGTCTCGGCTTTATCTCTTTTAGAAATTAATGTCCTGAAAAAACCAGGATGAGCTAACCCCGCAGGCTTCCCCTCACACACACCTCATCTCTCTGCAGAGTTCAGAATACAACCATATCGGTGTGACGTGCACGTTCTCCGCGGCGGCACGACACGACGGCGGCCTTGCACGGCGACATCAGGTTTGTTTATGGCGCTTGTTATCAGAGTTTTTGTGTGAGCGCTCACAGGAGACTCAGGCCCACGATAAGGCGGCAGACAGGCCTTGCACAAAGAGATAGTTGACACCTTTACTGTCAGATCTGCAACTTTGTCCCACTATTGAGTTAGAAACAAGTGAAGATATAAGACTTTTAGCTGTAGCTGCCAAAGCCTTTTCCAGATTGTGAGTTTTGCCGGATTCTCTGCTTCTCTGCATGTTTTAGGTTGCATTAAAAATACAAAACATATTGACAGACAGATGTCCACTTCACCACTTTTCCATGAGAAGCATTTTGATGAGCTCTGAGGTCAGCAGAGAGAGACAGCCAGTAAAAACACACATTCCCTGATGCAGCTTGTTAGAGTTACACCTCCACACAATCCCCCCGCTGCACACAATCCTGCTATTCTTCAGCCTGACGTACCCCACGTGCCTCCCCTTAATAATAAAGAATCTATAAAAATAAATTACTCGCACTAAGTATATGCAAATTCCAATGTAAGCAATCATTGCAAAATTAATTTTGCTAGAACTGATTAAAAGCTTTAATAAATCTATATACAGTATTGCAGCAATCTGATATTGTGAATTTATTACACTCCCTGTAAGATTAATTAGTAAGCGCCGGTAACATATTGCAGTGCCATGGAAGATTACTGTACTTTTTTTTAATAATGGTTAAGCAGAACCTGAGCTGTAATTATGGGCTAACACAAGCTTTTGATGCAGAGAGAGCCAGCTGCAAGGGGAACAAACGGAGCTCCTTCAGAGACGAATGCTTCTATTTTCGGAGGGTTTTAAGTTCATCTCATTGGGAAAACGCAAGACATTCTGCTAAAGGGATTGATTCTGTAAACTGGAGAAATGATTAATACCACAGGAGCGCACTGCAGCCTCCTTTCATGAAAGACGTCAACAACACCTTTGCCTCAGAAGTCAGGACACTCCTCTCAGGTCCACAGATAGCGCTCGAAAAAATAACAAGTGGTTTGATCGGGCCAAGGTTGTTTGACATTCCTGTCCGCCGCTTCAGGGTCGCCGGGACGCCCGTATCTGTGCCAAACAGCGCCGCGGAGTTAAGACCAGACAACATGCTCTGTACCTGCCAAAAAACCAGAACCAAGGACTCTCCCCGCAGTCAGCAGCTGTCAAAAGGTCGAGGGGGGGAATCGGGGAGGGGCCTGGGAGCTCAGATGGACCAAAGAGATCAGACGAGATGCAGCCAAAAGGGAGGAGGAAGTGAAAGGAGGGGGCAAGGAGGGCTTAAGGGGTCCAGGTGATGGGGACTAGGGGTGAGGTGGGGTGGTAGTGGGGGGTGATCTTTCTTCTTGCCTCTCTTGTCCACTGACAGTGTGGGGGCCCGCTCTCATTCACATGCTAATGAGTGTGTTAAAATGGCATCTGTTCCCCCCACTGCAAACCGGGCCACGGCACCTGAGTAAGCTAGTGCCAGGTATCGACAAACCGCGGGGAAATAGGCAGCGGGAGGATGGG